TCCAACATTGACTCTGGACGACGACCAGAAGTGCTGTCAGCGGCATCCCGATGTGCCGCACGAGGCGGGGATAAGGCCGGTATATACCAGGTGGAGGAAGTATCCAGAGGCCGGTTTCGAATTCGAGTATGAGAGCGAGATCGATCAGACGAAATGCGCTCTGTGATGATGCGAGGGCGCAGTCCGTGCCTGGAGTTCCGTGGGGCCCTAGGAGGTACTCGAGTGTCCGACTGCTGGTTTCGTTCGGTCACCAGGGCAAAGTTCAGGGTGTCCAGAGCAGTCGCTACTTGGGATGCGAGGACATTGAGTACCGCCACCAGGTTGTTCACAAACTCGACTGACAACTGCATGGCAAACGAACTCCCAGCAAGGACAAATCCAGCAAGAAAGGCTGCGGCTCTGCAACGACATGATGTTAGCAAAACATGCATGCAGCGAAATACTGAGGACCTTTTGCCGCTGGTGTTCCGTCAACGGTCATATGATAGACCAGAAGGCCGACACGCCGGCATGGCCTTGACTGCCGGCGGGTACTTCGGCGTGAAGGCGCGGCGGTGGGACGTGGGAACAGCGTCATCAGGGCGACCAAGAGGGCGCCTGTGATAACTGCGGCTGCGAGACCGACGCCGATGAGGTTCCCGGTGTCTGGACCTTCTTCTCCTTCTGCGCTCTCGGGAAGTACTGACACTCACCGTATGAACATGAGCAGTGTGCTCCATCCAGTTGTCCGAGGTGGCCACAAGAGTGACTGGTACCGCCGGGTAATCCGGTCGAACTGATGTTGCCGGCATGGACGGCGGCGTCGTTGAAGGCGGGGGTGGCGGCGGTGGTTGCCCGTCTGGTACTGGTGGTGGGGGTGGCGGCTGTGGATGCCGCTGCTGACCTTCAAGACGTTGCAGGCCGGCCAAAAGAATACTGATTTGCGACGAGATGGCAAGCCGCATATGCCGGCATTCTCGTAAAAGGTCCCCATGATCCATCCCAATGCAGGTCAAGGCTGGACAGAAAGGGCGATTCAATCAGTAGTCAACTCAAACTGCGGCGACAACAAGCAATGCAACAAGCATGTAACAAACCGCACCAAGACATGAGCATCAAGCAACCCCACACGCTTTTTCCGGAAGAGGAGCGTCATGATGTATACCACGAAAGTCTGGGCACAAACCACGGTGGGCCAGTGCAAAAGGAGGTGTTGGACTGCATTGTCGTAGTCATTCACCAGAACATTCCCATGTAGCTGGGAACCGCAATTGGTGAGCGGAGTTTCCACCTGCCATCTTTGGCGTGAATGCAGTCATAGTAATGGGAAGCAGCTATGTCGGCGTACACTCCGCCACGGGGAATGGTGCAATGATTTTGCCGGAGTCTTGCAGATCCGCCAATGCACATGGGGCGATCAGTGTGTATTCCTGCGAACTGCGCTGCCGCCTTGACCGCCGCTTCTTGAGAATGAAGGCTGCCTCTGCAGTAAAATCCCATCGGAGGCAACCAACCTTCATTCTAATTTGTGCACTCGCGGCTGGGAGGAGGTTGCTCTTGCCATTTTGAGGGTCTGATCAGCTCATCATCTCGCAGAATGCTTATGGCCGCCTGCACATTGGTATTGTGGGCCAAGAAAAACGTCGATTGTGATTGTGTGCGATGCTTATCCGGCAGCAATCGGCGCGGCACAAACGAGAAGATGATCCCAAAGAGGTTCTTCTGGGCGTTCTTTTTGTCTGTCGAGAAGTGGTGATACGTCCGGGTGGTCCTGCGAATATATGACCATCCCTCTTCGCAAATGCCAAGCTGGACGATGAGTTGTGGCGGCAGGGATTTCGGCGCTCTGTTTCTCAGCCGGTCTCCTATGCGTCCTTCTATGCTTGGCATTATCAGGACTGGGTCACCAGAGGATATCAACGACTCGGTCATCCACATCCTAGCATTGCGCGCCCAGTTTTCGCTTCGGGCATGTACGCTGGACTGACCTCTTCGTCGGCATCCTCGAACTCAGATGGTGGCTGATGCTCGTCCTCGTCTTACTGGAGATTCTATTCAATTCAATTTGATTGATGAGACTAGGGTGGACTTCGACACCTGAGCCGTGCATTGCTGCAAAAGTGTTTGCTTGCATGGTTGTTGCTGTGTCTCTTGTAGTAATTGTTGTCTGCAGCCGTACACCTATCAATCTGTCCTCCCGGGTTTGAGTTGTCATGCCGTGGCTGGAGTGGTGTCCGGATCCTCAACAACCAGATGCCCAGTGGGTCAAGATCTTTCATCCGGGATCATGGACGCCGCAGGAAGAACATGATGCTCCACCCCCACCTCACACATACAGGGAGTGGAAGGAGTTCTATGTACCAAATGCTGATCAAGACGGTGTGCAGCCCAAAGACAGCATTTGGTACAAAAGAGACTGGGCCACAGAGGGCTATCGGAGAGTTGCTGCCCCTCAAGCTGGTCATGACTTTGATTCGATGTCTTTTCCTGATCAGCGTAACGTGGCCACGCAATCCTCGGCATTGAGTATGTCACCGCAGATGTTGGAAGCGATTCTTAGGTCCTCGGATGCAGCGGCTTTCTCCACTGAAGATCTGACTCGTCTTCAAGAGGGGATCTCTCAACAACTATCGGATCGCGCACGTCAAGCATCCCAACAACACCAGCCTGCACGCAGCCTGCACGTGCATCTCGGGGAATTGCACCACCGGAGTCTATGGGGGTCTCTGACCCATATCGGCCTATGAATCCATCAGGCAGCACCACCGCGAAGGTGAAGCCTATCTTCGAGCTAAATGATGGCTAGACTCACGCGTGTTGGGCATAGTACAAAAAGGGTGGTTTTCATACTTGCACTGCCTTGCTTGGTTGATGCTTGTGCATGGTTGTGCATGGTGCCTGTTTCTTCACTAGCTGGATCTGAACCCGCGGTACGCCCTGCCTCTTACTTCGGCATGGACATTGAGGATGCGAAGCAGCACCCATGGCTCGAATACTCGGTCTGGCAGGAGTGGGTGCGGATCTATACTCCAGGACAGCCTCACCTATGGCGACCCGGAGAAACCGTACCTGATCTAACAGACAAGGCAGCGGGTAACGGATCCCAGTGGTGGGACTGGTGAACACGGTCAGGCATGGACCATTCGCGACTGGCAGCATCAAGGATACCAACGCATTCTGTCTCGAAGGGAGTCCTTCACTACACATCATTCCCGTGATCAATCACTCGGAGAGGTGCAGAATTCCGATGCAATTCCTATTGAGGAAATGTTCACCTATGATACTCCTATTTCTGACGCTGATCGCTCGACTGCTTCACAATTCGCTTCAGTCTTCTATGGCGACACTTGTAATGCTCATCGTGGTGATCTTTCGTTCCCGTCTTCTGAGCGGTTTAGGGCTGTTTCCCGCTCCCCTCGCCGCGGTGGATATTTTGGTCAACGATAGGGACACGAAGGTGAGCATGTGATCTTCCTGCAGGAAAAGAGACTTCTCGCCCCTCGTTGAGGGGCGTGTGTGTGCGGAGTGACAGAATACCCTGTCACCGCCTTGTGTCGGTTTTGAAGCAGGGGGGCTGTCCACTGCATGGAAGTGACGGCCCAACGAAGAGGCTTCCATCAGTGCTGATATGGATTCTGGACGCAGAATCCACGTACCTGCAGTGATGAGAAATGTCTTTTTGGTCCCTCCCCTGAACCGCTGTTGCTTCTTTGTCCCCTGTTGAAGTAGCTAGAGTGAAGCCAAGCGACTTGCAAGCCGATATCAATCATTCCCAGTTGTACTCGAGACTCATCAGTTGTACTCGAGACTCATCAGTTGTACTCGAAAGATTAGCACTCTCCGTTTGGAGTTTAAGTGTGTGTGTGTGTGTCTCTGTGTGTTTCTCTGTGTGTGTCTCTGTGTGTGTCTCTGTGTGTGTCTCTGTGTGTGTCTCTGTGTGTGTCTCTGTGTGTGTCTCTGTGTGTGTCTCTGTGTGTGTCTCTGTGTGTGTCTCTGTGTGTGTCTCTGTGTGTGTCTCTGTGTGTGTCTCTGTGTGTGTCTCTGTGTGTGTCTCTGTGTGTGTCTCTGTGTGTGTCTCTGTGTGTGTCTCTGTGTGTGTCTCTGTGTGTGTCTCTGTGTGTGTCTCTGTGTGTGTCTCTGTGTGTGTCTCTGTGTGTGTCTCTGTGTGTGTCTCTGTGTGTGTCTCTGTGTGTGTCTCTGTGTGTGTGTGTGTCTCTGTGTGTGTCTCTGTGTGTGTCTCTGTGTGTGTCTCTGTGTGTGTCTCTGTGTGTGTCTCTGTGTGTGTCTCTGTGTGTGTCTCTGTGTGTGTCTCTGTGTGTGTCTCTGTGTGTGTCTCTGTGTGTGTCTCTGTGTGTGTCTCTGTGTGTGTCTCTGTGTGTGTCTCTGTGTGTGTCTCTGTGTGTGTCTCTGTGTGTGTATCTGTGTGTGTCTCGGTGTGTGTCTCTGTGTGTGTCTCTGTGTGTGTCTCTGTGTG